CATTGTCAAAAATCTAAGATAAATCGTCATACATCGGCACCCTTTCAGAAATTCTCTGCTCCAGACACGCGATTTGATCACATTCATATTGATCTAGTTGGTCCTTTACCACCTTCTAGAGGATTCAAATATTTATTGACTTGTATCGATAGCTATTCTCGATGGCCTGAAGTATTTCCTCTATCAGACATTTCTTCTGAAACTGTCGCTTCAACCTTGATTTCAGGTTGGATATCAAGGTTTGCTGTTCCTTCAATTATAACAACGGATCAAGGTAGGCAATTTGAATCATCTGTTTTTAGGAGTTTAACGGAATTTCTAGGGATTAAAAGAATTCGTTCTTGTGCATATCATCCAATCAGTAACGGCATTATTGAGAGGTTCCATCGGACTCTCAAATCTTCTTTGAGATGTTATGTTGACGCTTCTCAAAATTGGATTGATTATCTACCTATAGTTCTACTAGGACTACGTTCGGTAATTAAGGATGATTTAGGGTGTTCGTCTGCAGAAATGGTTTACGGCACAACACTTCGTTTACCAAATGAATTCTTTGAATCATCCGACAAACCCGAACTAGATACATCATCGTTCGTTTCAAGATTGAGAGTATTTATTAACAATCTCAAACCAGCTCGTACCAGAGACCTATCTAATAAGAACATTTTTGCTTCTAAAGACTTGTTGAATTCAACACATGTATTCCTGAGAACGGATTCTATGCTCAGTACCTTACAGCCGAGGTACACTGGCCCTTTTAAGGTCATTCAACGTAATCGAAAATTTTTCACTTTAGATATTAATGATAATACTAAAACAGTATCTATCGATCGTTTGAAACCAGCGTATCTCGAAAACTCATGCATAGAAATTCAGTCGAATTGTGCAGGTACACCAGTAATGAATGTTAAGAAACCCAAAAAAGTTTCATTCAATACAAAAGTGATTGTCAGATTTTAATAATGGTATAGGTGTATACTATACAGAATATATATATATTTTTTTTAAGGAGAGCTATGTAGCCACATTTTGTGATCCTTAGTATTGAGATTTCATTTTTATAATGTCATCATGGAAACTATAGAAAATAAACAATTTTCGACTGTTCATTAACTGAACATACATCTTTCCATTTTCTTCATTAGATAATTCTAAATCATTAAATAGAATTCCCTTTATATCAATTCGAATGAAGCCAGTTCTCACCAACTTCTGTGATAACTGCAATATACTCACTTCTAGACGACTGTGACTTGAAATCAGCAACTCTAAGTGAATTATAACTTGAAGAATGGAAGTTGTGAAATATCTAATTTCTATTTGATCAATGTACTGATTATTATTTAATGAGTCTGCGCTTGTCAATATGAACCCCCAATCCTCTCAAACTCCTCCTCACCATCCTTAATCAAAGTACTAATCCCCCTTCCCAAACCTGAGTTACTTCCCCTTCTTTTCTTTTCAAGTCTGACCCTAGGATAATGGTTCAGGCTCAAGCTCTTCAACACATGGAGTGGTAGACTGTGATGACTGCTATTCTGCAACTGAAATTAAAGTGATCGAGTTTTATATTTTGTGAAATATCGAAATATCGTGAAGCAAGCGGAGGGTCGCCTTCTTGAACATCGAGGTCGATTCGTCTGGCTATGTTCGTGCAGGTATTGGTACAAATTATGCAAAACTGAGTACATAACATGACAGATCTGCGCACCTGCACCCAGAATTCCTACCACAGTTAGTTTGCATTAGGTTTGCTGCATTAGTACATCTGGAGCCGGAGGTTTCAGGGTGGCAACTGGAATCAGGCCCTTATTGCTCGACTTCCAACAACACAGTTTTGGATACAAAATGTTGCCAAGCGACTATAGCAGTAATCACGCTATGATGGTAAGCTGCAGCATCAGTGGACGGAATGGATGCAATATTGCTGGATAACTTGAACGTAAATGTCACGTAGTGCTTGTATTAAAGTGTATTCAAGCTAGTTGCAACATGGTTAGTCCCATACAAGGCAACCAAAATCCTCCTTCAACAGCAGCAAATGCCATTATGACTGGGCTGACGGTAACAAAAATCACCCAACGCTCTCTTCAAGCTCCAGATATTTGGAGAGACTTTTTAGGAAGTGAATCTTGCCTTGGAGTCGCATCTGTTCATCGCGTGCAGAAACATGATTATTGGGTTGGTACATATAACAACTGTTCCTTTTCCCCTTCCTTGGCTTCAGCAGATAGACGTCTGAAGAAGTGATGAGATCCAACATAACTGTCGCAAGATTATTGGGCAATTTTTCAATGACGAGTAGCTGTTTTCAAATCACAGTCGCATTCGTACGCATTGCGTACTATATTTCACCTACTGTCATATAGTACATGGAAAAAAGTTAGGACAAACAGTATGAATTATAATTCTTGACAGTCATGTGATCAGCAGCTGACGGCGATTAGGCGATCATGACTGGCGGAATGAACGAAAACTGTGCGATGTGCTTACTGTACGTGAAGAGCAACCTACTGAGGCTGTTTCTCGTGTGTTCTTGCCTACTTTCTATAGTGGCCGTTGGTGAAAGTGATTATATCACAGTTTTCACGAAAGTTGGTGAAAACCGGCTTTTTTCGAATGACGATAGCGACCTTTCAGAAAAGGAAAGTTAACATTGTCATTCGTCGCAGACTTTCAAGTTCTTCAACTTTGAATATCGGTACAGTGTGTAGTTTGCAAGAGCTGGGCCAAAAACCGGGAAAAACACCCAAAATTTCGAGGTTTCTTGCGTTTTTTGACCTGAGCCGCTACGAGGTAGTAAACTTCAGATTCGTTGCCCCTAGACCCCCCGACATATATTATAATTCTGTTGGGAATCCTTTTACCAGACTCAAGTCACTAGACAAGCACTATTGAACATCTATTGATCTGGCTATTGATGTGATATTTTTCATAAGAATTGAAATTTAATTTTTTGACATTAATTAAAGGAAAAAACCTCCCAATATTATGATTCGCAGAAAAAATGCAGCAAACAAAAAGAGTCTTCATAAAATCTTTGCACACTATAATAGGAGCTCTCACTGGACAATTTATCATTATTTATATTAATATCAACTAAATATATCACGAGTGAAAAATATATGATAAAATAATTGAGGTAGTTTATTTCTCGATAGGACACGATTCTATCCCTCAACGGTGATAGATAAATAGAAAATACACAAAAATAAAAATTGTAGACAGAAAATTCACAATGTTGACGATGATTCATTCGTCTATTCCTCCGATAATTAGTGGTCGTTGATGACGCGAAATTTCAAGTTCAGTAGTTTGATATGTAGCAACCCCTCATTCAACCCTTAACAGATGATCAAGTTGAGACAAAGGAGTGTGTATTTATAGCACTGATATGACAGCAATTATAGCTAATCAGTCGGCTCATATCCATAGATATTTCCATTTGTGATGAAGCATTTACCAGTTTGAATGAGAAGTTGTTTAGCAAGCACTGTGGTTAGTTAATTTCGTATCCCAACCTAGACTTTAATTAGTGTTATTCGACTCGAATGGGAGAAGAACTCCGTCTTATCCAATCGTGTTTACTGAACTAAGCTGAATGGTAAGCATTCTACTGAACGGTGAGTGATTCAATTATCGTTTGAAGAATATTGAGTAAGAACATAGGTTCCTTCGTCATCCAAAAGGATGAAAGAATAAGAACAAATACTTGATTTGTTTCTGACAATTGCATGACAGATTTGGAGAATTACTATTATAATATCAAGGAGTATCAGTACATCGCTTCATCCTTGATATACCATTGATTGAAATTTGAAATATCAATGGAAATATTTCAGTGCAATATTATTATTATTGATGATTTATCAGAGTTAGGAAATGAGAAACAGAAGAATATTCCTGTATTTCTCCCTTATATTAACAAAAATGTAACTGAACAATAGAGAGTAAGTATAAATAGGATATCACATAGAGGTTGTTTCGAATCATTTTATTTCTCAGCACTCAAATATTCCAGAAAGGCCCTCGCTACGTATCGATTGACATTATGGAACGTAAAAAATTGACAAGGGCATTCAGCACATCCTTTCGTTGTCAACCTCTGAATATGTCGAACAGCACTATATTCAAACCCGTTCCTCTATAGAGCGGAAAAGCTCTTTCTATTTGAAATTTCACCAAATTACTTTGTATTGACTTAACAGATAATGTGACATCATGACTTTCATTCTTACACTGTTATTCTCAACAAATCATCAAATTCAGAGAATAGAGAACGCCACCAGGTGTTTGAATATTCCTTGGACACGGAAATGAGATGGGTTTCCATTTCTTTGGTCTACGAAAATATCGCTGGATGTACCAGAATTTCTTTGAGGGCAGTCAGTTTCAATAGAAAGCCATTTCATATTTCGAATATCGATTGAGCTTTCTTTTTCCGCACTGAAATATGCACAAGTGGTCCTTGCCGCAAAGTATCGACCGACCCTATAAATCATAAGAAATAATATCGAATCAGTGATAAACCCGGTGAAAATCAGGACATTAATCGGCAGGAGGCGATAGAAGCAGCAGGTTCTCTGCTGCATAGGGCTGGGCGGCGCATCCCGAACCCCACGACGCCGACGCAATAACTTCGGGCGCCTCGAGACCCATCAAGCTGCGGACTAACATCATAGTGCGGTGAATCGAGATTCCGAACGCACCTCCGTACGTAGCGTCGCTGTAGTCGAGTAGCGGAGATCGTAGCCTAGCCGTCTAGTCTCTTCCGCGTTAACCCAGAAAACCGAAAATATCTCGGCGCGTCGACCCTGCATGCACATCTGCATCGCGTAAACACTTCCTATTGTGATAATCCCGACTGTTGAAACAAACGTGCCAACTACTGGAAGAGTGCACAGGGACGCGAACAAGTGATGTTGAAAAATGACGGGAACTTTTCGGATGTGATGTTGTTCTACGACAAACACGCGTTTTCGAGATGACAAGTTATGGCAATGTTAACGCTAGTGCTGTTAGCGATGACCCTAGCCCTAGCGGCTCCAGACTGGACCGATTGTCCGAGCCCTTGCCGATGTAAGTGGAGTTCGGGAAAGAAAACAGCAATATGCAAGGAAGCTGGATTCACTGGCTTACCAGGAACCTTAGACGAGGGTATACAAGTGTTGGATCTTTCGGGTAATGTCATACCTAAACTGCCGAAAGCCGCCTTCAAGTCAGTTGGCCTAATCAACCTCCAGCGAATTTACTTTTCCACAGCTGGTTTGAGCGAAATACATCACGAAGCCTTCAAGGATCTACTCATACTAATCGAAGTAGATTTATCGCATAACAAAATATGCTCGCTGCATCCAGATACATTCCGCGGCAACGAACGCTTGCGAGTACTTTACTTGAGCGGAAATCCCCTAGGACAATTAGTGCGATCACAGTTTCCTTCCTTACCGCATTTGAGAACTCTGGAACTAGAGGGTTGCCAGTTGGAGATGATCGATAAGGAGTCCTTCATACACTTAACTGCATTAGAAACCCTCAATTTGAGAAACAACGTATTGACAAATCTATCAGAGACGGCTTTTATGAATTTTGCTCACTTGAAAACCCTTGCTCTTGACGGCAACCCGTGGAGATGTGATTGCGATCTTCGATATTTTAAAGACTGGTTTCTGGCCAGTACGCTGCATTCTGTATCTCTTATATGTGCCAATCCAGAGACCCTAAGTGGCCGCGCGTGGGACGAAGTACCCTCTGAGGAATTTGCTTGCCCACCACAAGTGTTTGCTAATTCACTACAACGAGTGCAGGCAGAGGCGGGCGGTAACGTTACCCTAGGATGTCATGTGACAGGCGACCCTGAGCCTCAAGTGTCCTGGCTCTACGAGGGCCATCCTATCAATCACACGTGGCTCATTGTAGAAGCCGAAGAAGGTCTAGTTGACAAGTGGACTAACATAAGTATTTATAATGTCAGCGACGCGGACGTTGGACTTTACACTTGCGTCGCGAGAAATAGATTGGACATAGCTTCCGTGAACGTTAGTTTAGTGCTTCCGGAAGTGGTGACTGCTACTACCCTCAGTAAATCGGACACAAACATAGTGTGGTGGGGATTAGTGGTAGTGGGTGTTGCAATGGGCATGTCTGCTGTGATTACTGTGATTGTGGTGTGCTGTGTGAGGCGGAGGAGTCAAAGCCAAAGGAGGAACATGAAGACCAGTGTGAGCTTCACCGACCAAGAAAAGAAGCTGCTGGAAGTTAGCATAGCGACCACTACGGACAGGGGAACTGGTAGCTGCGAGGCCTTAGGTCCGGATCTCGAGCTAGCCGATCCACCTGTCCACATAACCATAGAAAGAGAGCCATTACCACTAGCTGTTTACCCACCACCCCCTGAGTTCTCAACTAGTACTCTGCCAGCCGGGGCCTACGGAAACATTTTCATCTCAGTGTCAGTGAGTCGAGACCCATCGATTGATGTATCTAGGTGTCCTGATCTGTTGGACTTGCCCCATAGGCCCAAGCCAATCTACCATGGTATGGCAACGTTGCCAAGAAGGGCCTATGCTGCTCCCCAGTACGATAACATGGGTCCCAGGGTGACTGCTGGGGGCAGTTCAACGTGGTCCCTACCCGATGCTGCTGCCCCTGCTGGAACGGAGTTACCTCCCCCACCGCCACCCCCTTGCATTTCGCTAACCCCTGAATTTGTCTCTCTCTAACCTTCATCTGGTTGATCTTCAATTAGTGCCTTTGCTCACATCAATAAGTTAATTCATGTCTACGTTTATCGGTGAGGATGTATGAATGTTCACAAAAGGTATTATGGAAATTGTCTCAGGATCTTTTCCATGACGAAAAGTGGCTGATTCTGTTTATACGTATCCATTGGTAAAAGCGCTTCACATGTAGTGATGATTTGGGAATCTTGCATATCAAAACTAAAATCTTTTTTGACTGTAGTAATCATGTTTCAATGATATTTATCGATAAAATCTGCGAGAAGTTCGGGTCCAATGATGTTGCAATATTTTAGGAATATCGTAGTGATACAGAACTATGAAAACCTGGACAAGTCGAATAGGTATTGTAATGTGGATTGAGGATGACATTCTGAATCTTATAGGCTAGAATTTAGGCGAGAACTGAACGAACTCCCGAATATCAGCACTGAATTAGTGAATATCAGCATTTGCCACTGTCATTTGAGAACATTGGTCGCTTAATCCTGTGATCACTGAAACATTTTTGTGGAATACGGTTTCTTCAGCACTCATTCGAAGTAAGCACTATCCTTATGAAAAAAGTGTTTTTTCTGTGGCTCTGAGTTGATTTGATGACGTTCTAGAGTTCCTGAGTAACATTCACAAAAATTCAAGCAAATCGTAGATGTGAATGAAAAACTTGAATTGAACAGAACCTTCCTTTTGAAAAAATGAATTCCGATGCTGTTTTGTTGTTGTACCAGAAGAATTCATAGAGTTTCTGATCAACACTACCAAAAATTTGAAGAAAATTCCGATACCTACCTCGGCTTCCTATTCTTCTTAGGTGCGCACGATGTTCTTAAAATATTATAGGGATTCCCGAGGAGATTTTTTCTTGCGTATCAAGCGATAAAAAAGTGAATGAATGGATCATGAGGATGAAATATGAGAATATTTTTATGTAGGCGAACGGAATCTATCTCTGAAACACAAGATTTAGGAACTCGTGAAGCGCAACTCAGAACTCTTTCCTGGACTGTTTTGTTCTTCTAACTAGACTTGAATATATCTAAATGATGAAAGAACTATTGAACTTCGCTGAGTTGTCATAGACGGAAGACACATTTAGTCATCTCTTGTTGATCAGTTATGTCATATAAACTGTCTAGTTCGATATATCCCTAATGTTCAAACGTGTTATGTCTGATTTTCCATTCTCACATGAATTTTAGTGGACTCAATTCCTGTTTTGCTATAAATATTTTTTACATGTAGACTTCTATTAGAATTATCGTTGTGGCTGGATATAAATATCAATGTCAACAAAATTTTCAATGAACAAAAATTAAATGGAATTGAAATCAATATTTTCAAGTTCGGAATGTGATTCATTTGGTATTATTGGATTCAGGAAATGATGAGAATAAAAATATAACCATTTCCAGTGGAAACGAAAGCACCAAAAACAAGGGAAATACTTTTTTCCGGATGTAGATGGCTTTTTTTGTGGTGCCAGATCCGAAAAATAAGCTAATAATACCGTCTCCGAGGAAAATGCATGCCTTTTTCATCTTCCATTTCATGAATCTTGAATACGCGATTTCTAAATTTTCCGCAATTTATCTGGCAATAATTTTTGTGATGATGCTTTGACTGTTTCAACTAGCTCCAGTAAAGTCAGGAAATACTCGAGAGCAGACATTCTTCAACTCAATACCATTCAGAATTACGACTCAAGAATAAGTTCGCAATTTTTAAATTAAATCACAGTATCGATATCGATAGATATTTGAATGATTTGGAGGTTATTATAACAGCGTAGCAGATTGAAACTTCAAATTGTACATTGATCATCGTCTGACTTCAATATATTGTAATCAGTTCATATTTATTCGTCGTTTTACTCGTCACAGAAGAAAATGATTTTTCGTCACCATACAACATCGAGTCGACATCTGATTTTTTTTTTTTGATGATAAATTACTATTTCTACCGACTCTGACACCGAACTCGATATGCGAATAATTTAAGGCTATCACGTTTCAGTTTCGACAAAGCCAGATGAATTCACTATCTTATATTAAACTTGATAAATTCACTATACATTGAACTTTTCAATGTTTTGCCACAGAAGTTCAAAGTTTCGAAAATTAATTGTGTCAAGTCAAAATTGAAATCACATTGAAACGTCATATTCTTCGTCACTGTTTATACTCTATCAACGAATTTTTGAGGACCCTCCTCAATGAGTCCCAATATCTGTTGTATCTATATTATTATGTTACTGCTTGCAGTCCGTTTTTTTGCTCAAATTGTATGTCGGCTATCATTTTATCAGTCAGACGAGCTCGACAAGCCCAGTCTATGGAACGGTGAAGCTTTGCAATTCTTTGGCAAAAGAAGTATTGCTAAGAACTTGTCCAGAAGTTGAGAATAAATCCGATGCCTACCTTATTTCCTTATCCTCCTCAGGTACGCATGATGTTCTCCGAACATCATAGGGATTTCTTTTTGTGTGCCCCAAGAGATGTGGAAAAAACTATCACTTCTACTTTTCATGGGTTTTTTTCATCGACTACATTCAACATGTCTTTTGAATCTGACTTGCCAAAAACATGACATTTGTAAATTAGTGATTTTGTTTTTAAAATCGTAGTTTCTTGAGATTAGCTCCTCATGATTGCAGATACATGAAACAGTATAGGTTTTTTTTTTAACACAATAAGAAAATCCCAGGAAATTATAGATGACTACTCTGAACTCGTTTCAAAAATGTGTTGTGTTAATTTTCTAAGAGATCTTCAATATTGAATGAAAGTTCTCCAAGGTGCAGTCATGACAGCGGATGAATTGAGAAAGTATTTCTTATGAAATGAAATTGGCAAAGAACTTGACAATTCCTGAGTTGCGTGCTATTCAGAACTCCTGCAGAGCTATTCTCTCATTCTCACAGGTCAGTTCAAATTTAGTGTTCTCCTTGACTTTTTGTGATTGAACGCTTTCCCAATCCACTTGATCTACTATAGAAATCGATGAGAATTAATCGAACTTTTCACAATCCAATTTTCGAAGCGAATCTATGAACATAATATCCTCATTTTTCTTTCTTGTTTCAACCAATGATTTGCCTAGTGCACCAAAATTCTTGGTGAAATAGACCAAGAACTCCAGAATTGTTCCTGATACGACAACAAAAAATATCACAACTCTTTTTTTTTGCTGGAAAAAACATCAGCGACTCGAACGGAGCTCTATGACATTGGCGCCAATATTTTTTATTTATTTTATCTACAACTGTTGAGTAACGATTATGATTTGACACTTTTCTGAATGTCATAATGACGTTAATTACCGCACTAGTGCATTTTTGAATCTACTTTCGTACTAGTTTGGAATTGAGATGAAAAATAAATTTCAACCAGAATAAATACAAAGAAGATTCGAATAACACCTGCTCGCCACATTTTCAATGTCGAATCGTAGATCATCTTCATTTGAAGATATTTTTACTCAAGAAACTTGATGATAGTTCTGGATATCGATCTGACAATTTAATTCAACATCTATGAACGGCTTTGTTTATACCTACCGTTGTTACGGTTACAAAAATGATCACAGGCAACTTGTGTTTTCAATTATCAGAAAACTGTTACGAGTAGGTACGTCGAAGTGGAATATCAATGAGGTACATTTGAAGATAGGTATGAAAACATTGACAGTTGTAAATAAAATTCTGTACGCAACGCGTGAAATACCACATTATTAACGCACTCATGTGATAACATGACTCTTTTACGGCTTCGTCGTGAAATCCTCACATGCATGCGTCAATACTGTCTATATCCCACTCGAGATCCCACTTGTCACGTGAATAACTATTATTACACTAGTAATTCACCAGAATCATTGATGCAATAGGTCTTCAACTCCAGAACTCTTTCTAATTCGATCATTGAAACCCATTTTGAAAAAATACTGCTGCATAAAGTGGGTGCCTTGGTTGATGTTGAAAATGTGATATTTGCAATCAGTTCTACGAATTCTACTCATTGGAATGTTAAGTCAGAACTCCATCAAATCCCCCCAGATCTGCAGAAAATATTGAGTTCTTTCAAAAATCTGGGTAAACTTTGGCCTACTTCACCTGAGCAATTAAAAAAAGTAGGGAAAATTCCCGAAATATGTGAAGGTTTTTATCGCTTTTGGAAACGTTCTCTGTGATAATTTCGAATACCTTCATTCATTCAATGAACATGAATGATGAAACAGAAAACTGCATCGGAATAGTTGATTTTTTATCGATGATTCAAGATTTAAATTTTGTTAAAAATTTGTAATATTTTATGGTATTCCCTATTCGGTGTGTAATTATTTCTCTCACTTCTTTCTATAAAAACAAAACATTATGTTCTGTTCAATTATCGATCAACTGCATGTCACTTTATCCTCCAAATACATATTTTATACTGAAGCTTGGGTTAATGAGTCTTTGAACTATTTGGTGGAAAAATGTAATGTGAGAACCTATAGGGTTTGTTTGTGAATGATAAACTCTCATTTATGATTTATATCAACATTTTTTGTGCTAGATATTGAAAATATATTTACTTGTTTCGCTGATTGTGTTATTATTCATTTCGACGCATTCTTGGTGATAATAGTCAGATGCAGATATGTCCTTGTATGTTTTGACCTCGGTTTTGTTGACTGGGGTTTGGAAAACATGAACGCAATGATAAGAGTTTGTGAAACCTTTGTTCTGTATAAGCCGAGGTACAAGCGGAGCTCGACCTATATTTCAGTGTTTCTAAAACGAGATCTGAGAATCGTTTTCAGTCTGATATCGTCGCATTTATAGTTGCAGAAGTTTGAGGCTTTTGTGAATGGAGATGCATTCTAGCTGAACATTGTAACATGCGGATAATAGGATATTACCTCGGATATTACCTACAAGATCTTGTTTCAATTATATAGGGTGTTTCGAAGAAAGGTGACCTTTTTGCTAGGGTAGGTGG